CGGACGTGGCGGACGACGAGAGCCAGAAAGAGAATGGCGCAGGCCGCCTGGCCAAAGCGCATGATCATCGGAAAGCTCTGGCTCAGTAGCAAGAGGCCCACACCTGCCCTTCAGCCTGCCGCCAGAGCAAGCCGCAGAGCGGCCCGACGCGCGACTCCCGACATCGAGCCTGCCTCCTCAAACAAGTCATCCTGAATATTCTTCGTCTTCTGGTCTCTTCTTCCTCCTCCTGCTCCTCCATCCTGCTCTCTCCCTCCTTTTTTTCTGCCCCCTGCAAGATACCATCTTCGTCCACCTCCCTCCCTCCCTCTTATAAATGACTCCTCCCTGCCGCGCAAGCAGACGTGTCCGTCGACTGGATCGGGCGCGTTGCTGGAACCTTCCGTACATTTTACAACCACGAAGCTGGAATTCTCCGGCAACTGCACGGGTAAAAGCTGGCTCTCGCGCTGGCACCGTACATATTTGTTTTTGAAACTCTCAGCAATTGTGCGGGTGGAGGCTGGCTTGTTTCGAAACGTGGCTCTCGCATGAGCGCCGCACGCATTCGTCTTACAAGTCTCAAGCAATTACCAAGATAGATGGCCGTGCGTTTTCCAAATTGGATTATCGCCTTAGTGCCGCGCGCATTCGTCTGAAACGCTCGCAACAACAAGGATGCAGGGCGGTTCCTTTTCAAGCTGTGTCTCTCGCTTGACTGGAAAGGTGAACGTATGTAAAACCTCCACAGGAGGAGGGTGGTTCCTTTCCAAATTGGGGCTCTCGCCTTGGACTCTTGTGCGTTCGATGCGTGGATGTGGGGCCAGTCTTGTTCAAAGGCTAGCGCTGAAAACCGAATGAGCCTTACACACTTGTCACCAAACGTGTAAACATGAACAACAATTATGACATTGATCAAGGGCGGTCCTTTTTACCAACCATCATGTGGTGCTGGGTCCTCGTTTTGAAAAAATCCTCGCGTCTCCTCCTCCTCCTGCTCCTCCTCCTCCTCCTCCTCCTTCTTTCTCCTCCTCCTCCTCCTCCCGTCACCCCCCTCACTTTGGCAACCCCTCACACGTTCCGTGGCCCCATAGAGAGCTCCACCGAAAGCTCAACTGCCTGCGCTCGCATGCGGCCACCGCGCCCTTTTCGGCACAACCCTCACACGTTTCGTGGCCCCATAGGGAGCCCCACCAAATGTCCAAATGCCAGCGCTCGCATGCGGCCACCACCACCCATTTTGGCACACCCCTCACATGCTTCATGGCCCCATAGGGAGCTCCACCGAAGGCTCAAGTGTCAGCGCTCGCATGACACGTTTCGTGGCCCCACAAGAAGCTCCATGAAAAGCCCCAATGCCAGCGCTCGAACGCGGCCACCGCGCCCGTGTGGGCACACCCCTCACACGCTGTGGCCCCACAGGGAGCTCCACCGAAGGCTCAGATGTCAGCGCTCGCATGCGGCCATCGCACCGACTTTGGCACACACCCCGCACGCTTCGTGGCTCCATGGGGAGCTTCACCGAAGGCTCAGATGCCAGCGCTCGAATGCGGCCACCGCGCCCATGTGGGCACACTCCTTGCACGTTTCGTGGCCCCACAGGGAGCTTCAGCGAAGGCTCAGATGCCAGCGCTCGCATGCGGCCACCGCACCGACTTTGGCACACCCCTCACACGCTTCGTCGCCTCACAGGGAGCTCCTCCGATGGCCCAGATGCCAGCGCTCGCATGCGGCCACCGCACCGACTTTGACAAACCCCTCACACGCTTCGTGGCCTCACAGGGAGCTCCACCGAGGGCCCAGATGCCAGCGCTCGCATGCGGCCACCATCATCCATTTTGGCACACCCCTCACACGTCTCGTGGCCCCACAGGGAGCTCCACCGAATGCGGTACATACAACGACGGTGCCCACAACTGCATGTGGTTTGGTCCTTCGCCAGGCTAGTTTTAAACAGGGGCCCTGTCTGAGACTTCGTCTGATTCCCTACCTGGGCTCTGCCTAGAAGAGTTCTTACCCTTTATGTTTAAAGGGCCGGGCAGTGCTCCCCAACCCGGGCGGTTCCCCCATGATCCGCCCCGCGGTTCCCCCAGTTACGTCCCCTTAGCTTAGCGTTGGTTATCTCATCTTAGCTGAGCCTAGCTTAACTTAGCTTAGCCTATCCTAGCCTAGCTTAGCGTAGCCTGGCATAGCGTAGCTTAGCATAGCATAGCATATCATAGCAGAGCGCAGCATATCACAGCATAGCATAGCATGTCATATCATAGCATAACGCAGCATAGCATAGCATAGCATTAGCATTAGCATAGCATAACACAGCGCAACATAGCATGACATAGCATAGCATAGCGCAGCATAGTATAGCATAGCGCAGCATTAACATTGCATATCATAGGTGTAGATGTAGATGTACATGCAGGTGTAGATGTAGGTGTAGATGTAGATGTAGATGTGAGTGTAGTTGTAGATGTAAATGTAGATGCAGATGTACATGTAGATGTACCCGTAGTTGTAGATGTGGATGTATGTCTAGATGAAGATGTAGGTGTTAAGCTGTACTACTACTACTACTACTACTACTACTACTACTACTACTACTACTACTACTACTACTACTACTACTACTACTACTACTACTACGACTACTACTACTACTACTACGACTACTACTACTACTACTACTACTACTACTACTACTACTACTACTACTACTACTACTACTACTACTACTACTACTACTACTACTACTACTACTACTACTACTACTACTACTACTACTTACTACTACTGACTACTACTACTACTACTACTACTACTACTACTACTCTACTACTACTACTACTACTACTACTACTACTACTACTACTACTACTACTACTACTACTACTACTACTACTACTACTACTACTACTACTACTACTACTACTACTACTACTACTACTACTACTACTACTACTACTACTACTACTACTACTACTACTACTACTACTACTACTACTACTACTACTACTACTACTACTACTACTACCTACTACTACTACTACTACTACTACTACTACTACTACTACTACTACTACTACTACTACTACTACTACTACTACTACTACTACTACTACTACTACTACTTACTACTACTGCTACTACTACTACTACCTACTACTACTACTACTCTACTACTACTACTACTACTACTACTACTACTACTACTACTACTACCACCACCACCACCACCACCACCACCACCACTACTACTACTACTACTACTACTACTACACTACTACTACTACTACTACGACTACGACTACTCTACTACTACTACTACTACTACTACTACTACTACTACTAAAACTACTAAACTACTGCTAACTACTGCTACTACTACTACTACTACTACTACTACTACTACTACTACTACTACTACTACTACTACTACTACTACTACTACTACTACTACTACTACTACTACTACTACTACCACTACTACTACTACTACTACTACTACTACTACTACTACTACTACTACTACTACTACTACTACTACTACTACTACTACTACTACTACTACTACTACTACTACTACTACTACTACTACTACTACTACTACTACTACTACTACTACTACTACTACTACTACTACTACTACTACTACTACTACTACTACTACTACTACTACTACTACTACTACTACTACTACTACTACTACTACTACCGCTACTGCTACAACTGCGACGATGGATGAGGAGAAAGAGGAGGACGGCGTTTACCGTTACTACTAATGTTGCTCTCCTCGGGGCTCCAACTCCTAGGTAGGGTCGCTCCGGGATAATGTTGCTGTCAGGACCTGGGATTTTGGGCAGCGGCCGCACGGATGGATGGCCCTTTTTTCTTGAGTGCAATGCTGCCGTTGGGCAATTACTTGAACTTTGACGCCCCACCTGTTCCTGATCATTCCAGCTCGAAGGATGGATGACAACATCTTTCAAAACTGGGCTCCCACATGAACTGCGGGCTGAGGGAGCGGTCGCCTTCCAAGAGAAGCGTTTCGCGAAGTGAGCAAGGGCTAGTATGGAGGGGATGTGGGACGGAATGGTGCGTTCTGGCATCGTGGACGCATGCCGGGTTTACGTACGATGGTCCTTCCTCCTCCTGTTTTCATGTTCGAATTGATGCCCCTACCTCCCTGGTCCCTGTGCCCGATGCACGCAGAAGGGGTAACCAAACGATGGATGAGGGGATCAGGGGGTGCCTAGGATGAGAGGAGGGGTCGACACCGAGGGAATTCCCACCAGCCCTCTGGGCGTGAATGCTTTAGCGAGTCCTCTTCCATTGTTCGGGAAAAAACTATGAGTGCTCCCTATTAATAAGCACCTCCTCCCCACCCGACCGGCAGCCAACCCGCACCCACAAACCCCCCCGCGCACTATCCCTGTCAGTTTAGCCTGGCGAAGGACGAAGGACCCAACCATACGCAGCTGTGAATAACGCAATTGTAAGCATCGTCTTCGGTGGAGCCCCGATAGGCCCACGAACCGTGTGAGGGGTGTGCCGAGGTGGGCGCGGGGGACGCAGGCGAGCACTGCTACTGGGGCCTCGGGTGGAGCTCCCTATGGGGCTTCGAAACGTGTGAGGGGTGTGCGGGTGGCGCATGCGAAAACCACGAAACGCATGCGGGGTGCACGAAATGAGCGAAAACACGTGCGAGCACTGCCACTGGGGCCTTCGGTGGGGCTCGCCCTCCTTCAGTCTGAATCTTGAGCACCTCTGCCGAAAAGTTGATCAGCGGCCGAAGCTCCTGGGTGAGGTCGCCCACCCTGTCGCCCATGCCCTGAGCACGCTGTAACTTGCATGTTCGCGTGGGCGGCACACGGGAATGCGACCGAAACCATCCAGGGCCTGAAGGTCCCAATTAAAAAATAGGAAGTCTGATCGCGTCCGAGAGTCGTTAGAGTTCACGCCAACTGGCATTCCGAGGGGGTCGCATTCGCGTGACCACCCTTCGAAGCTACATGAGTAAAGCGAGCCTCCTTCGCGAACAACTCCCAGAGAAACGTCTCGTTGCTGTCGCGCAGCAAATCGAATATAACCGCATACTCCTTCATGAGTTTGTCGAATCGCTTGGGCGTACCCATATTCCAGATCCCCTTGTTGCCGTTTCTCGTTGCATCCTGGGCCCACCGATCGGAGTCGCCCTTGACCCTGAAGTCGGGCTTGGACACCTGCAGCGTCTCCGCGACCGGGAAAACCTCCGGCTCGACTTTCTCGACGTTGGTGCGGAACTTCTCGAAGAGGGGCTCCTCCTCGTACGACTCCAGGTCGCAGTCGAAGATGTCGATGCCCGCGTGGCCGCCGGGAAGCTTCACGAGCTCCTTGTCGTATACCCCGAGCACCTGGAAGTCGGCCCACTGGCCGTCCTCGCACAGGTAGAGGTTCGTCTTCCAGTCCGCCAGGTTTTTCTTCCTCGTCAAGCCAATCATGTCACCGGGGATCTCGAAATACTCCTGCAGGACATGCCTCTTGCCAATGCCGATCGGGATCCCGATCCACTTCTGCTTCGCCTCGCGTCGCGCGCCGCCAAGTCCACCAGAGCTGGGTCAAACAACTAAGCGTACTCTGCAAAATTATGATGACACAGCTGTTTGGCACTCTATTATTTTTCAAAGATAACGGTGCTTTTCTTGATCCTTCCCGTCCTTATGCTCCTCCTGCTCCTTCTTTCTCACCCTCCTTCATCCCTCACTCCCTTGAACTTCTGGCTCGCCTCGACGATGATGGGCCTCAGACCGTACTTCTCGAGCTCCGTGGCGATCTTACCCAGCCAGCCGCGCCCTGCCACCGCTACGGAGGCGCCGCTGTCCACCAGGGTAGCTGGCACGATCGTGCTCGAGATCATCGCGTCCACTTCTGGCACTTCCGGTAGGATCGGGTCGCTCTGCATGTTGACCATCATGATGTCGTGCTCGGCTGGCTCCTGGAACTTCTCCGTCGCTAGCTCCGGGTCCTGGGCGTCCTTCTGGTGGAACATGTCTGGCATGACGCGCGCCAGTGTGGTCATCGCCCAGAAACCCAGACGTCGTGGACGGGACTGGGCCTTCGAGGTCTCGCCGCGGCCCTTGAAGCCCTTGCCCGCCGGCCTCGGAAGTCGTGGCGTCGTCGGGCAGTCCAGTGAGGCATGTGGCCCATTCTTCCACATTTGGTGCACCTCTCGTCCTTGGACTTGCCTTTGCCACCGTCCTTGCCCTTGCCGCCTTTGCCTCCTTCCCCAGCTGCCTTGCCGCCGGCCGCCGCGCTCTCGTCCACCACTCCATCGATTCTTCCCTTGAAGAAGCCTCGAGCCGCCCGGGTCTTGTTCATCTTCAGCCTGCTCTCGCGCAGCATGACGAGGGCCTGCTGGCACTCTTCGTCCTCGCTCGCGGAGTAGACGTCGGTGTCGTCCTCGATGTAGAACATGTCGCTGCTGTCCCAGCTGTCGTCGCCGTCCTCCGCGAACGCGTAGTCACCGTGCCCTTCGTCCCACTCGTACCAGTAGCCGTCGTCGTCCTGGACCCAGTAACCGTCGTGCTCGACGTTCTTGTCGTCGTCCTCCGGGTCGCGCTCGCCGTCGTTGTAGTTCGCCCATCGCCAGCTCGTTCTCGATCCCTGTCGATCCCGGTGCCGACCTCCGCCTCGTGGGAAGGAGTCTTTCAGCGTCGTGCTAATTTTCTGGAAGTTGAAAGTCTCATCTGCACGTGCTATCACTAGATTGCGCTCGTCTTTGTCCAGTCCGCTTCTTTTCAGCGTGTGGTACCCTAGTTCGTTCGCTCTGATCTTCTTGTCTGGGCCAACTTCCTCGAGATTGCGCCTCGCCACCTCCATCGCCGTACAGAACGCCGCCATCGGCTCTCCGCCCTTCTTATCGAAGTGAGTCTGGTCGAAGAAAGCGTCGAAAACCTTCGGCAGCTCCCTGAAGCTACTCTTGGCGAAACGCTGCTCTTCGAGGAATCGCAGTAGTATCTGGGCGCCGTCCTCCGTCGCGTAGTCCTTGGGGTTCGTCTGTTCTATCAGCACGCTTATGGAGTTGTCCGCGCCCAGCAGATCGATTCCTATACAGCTTCGGACCGAACGCCTGCTTAGACTCCTTTCTCTCGCAGCTCACCTCCGCCGCCTGAACTGCCCTCTTGTATCTGGTGAAATCCTTCAACGTCTCGCCCTTCAGCACCGGTATCTTCGGGTCCACCGCACTGTTGTACTCTGCCATGTTGTTCGTAGTCCTCGTGTTCGTAGTCTCCGAGATGGCTAGTCTCGATCCTCTCTGCGTCTGTCCTTGGAGCTGTGGGGCCAACCTCAGGCTCCGCTACCAACCTCGTTCTGGCTGGAGCTCTCCCTCGCTCGATCGTGTCGTCGGCGAGGTTCGTCCCAGCTTGAACTTTGTCGAAATTCCGTGACCACTATCGCCCCTACCGCACCGCTGCTGCTGCTGTGGGGAGGAAGGGAACACCTTTTCACCGTTCGAGCCCAAGCGCCGGTGCTGCATACACGCATGTTAGTCACTTGCAACATCCTAGATTCCCAGGGCAAGTCCTCCGGAAATCTTCAGAAATCACAGCCCACGAACGCGCACGCAGACGCCAACGATGGCACAATACGGGCCAGCGGAATGAGCAAAACGGTAAAATGAAGACGAGCAAGAAGGCGCCCTTCCACTCCACGATCGCCCCCCTCTTCCCCCCTCTGCCGTCCTCCTGCCCCCTGCCCCTCTGCACAACCCTCTCCTGCTCCCACCTCGCCATCTTCCCTTACCTCCGGCCGTCGTCCGGGCCACCTACGCCCCAGTGCGCTTCGCGACGTGACGCGCGCTCGTGAGTGCGCTTCGCGACGGGACGGATGAGGGAAGGAGAATGAGGGATGAACAGGAGTAGGAAGGAGGGGAAGGGAAAGAGAGAGGAGGGGAATGATAAAAGAGAGAAGGGATGCGAAGGAAGGGAAGGATGAATGGAAGAGGGGGGGGGATGAGAGGAGGAGGGGGAGGAGGGGGAGGAGGAGGGGACGGAAGAATGGAGGAGGAGGAGGAGGAGGAGGAGGAGGAGGATGGGGAACAGTGTAGACCCAAGACTCATCAACGATGTTGGAAGAAAACCTCTCCCAAAACTCTATCTTCATAGGACCCTACAAGAATTCATTTCCACTGAGGGAAATACCTCGTTGGGAGACAACCGCTTCAATATCCTAAAAGTGTGCCATACAACCATTCACGAGACTTCAACGCCAAGAACCAATCTGGCTGTTGCGTCTTGGAGATCCTGAATCGTGACAGGACAGAACACCATTCCACACCGCGAGTCAAATGTAAATGTTGCGTCCGGACGATCCTGAATCGTTTCAAAACACCGCTTCTGGTACGCTAGCCATGGGAGCCACTGAAACTCTGACAAATGTTTGACACGAATGTGCAAGGCACTAAACAAAAAAAACACCATTTTGAACAGGAACCGCCCTCACTCCGTGAAACTCTTGTAACTGTTTAAGACAAATGTGCGCGGCGCTGAGGCGAGAGCCAAATTTGAAAAGGAACCACCCTCACTCCGCGAATCTCTTGCAAATGTTTGAAACGAATGTGCGCGGCGCCGAGGCGAGATCCACAGTTTGTCAGCGGCCCGCCCTCCATCTGTGAAGCTGTTGTTCGTGTTCAAGCTTCAGGGTCCAGAATGGTAAGGAAGCCTCGAGCGAAACGCCTGGACTGCCCTTCCGACTGGCTTCGGAGTGCGACAGGGAGGAGTTGTTCGTAACGAAAAAGAATGGAGGAGGAAGGAACGGAGGGACATGGGGCAAGTGTGCACCGTGCCCCTCCCCGCGCCCGCCATGCAAGTGCGAACGATAAAGTACTGGCAGCTCGGGAGGCCCAAGGGAACGGTCCTGCGCGCTGGCCGCGTCTCCACCCCTCATGCCGAGCAGAGCTAGCGACGGAGGAGAAAGGGGTGCAACAGAGCTGAGAGGGTGGACGAGCAGGAGGAGCACGGGTGGATCACAGGGAGGGAGTGGAAGAGGAGGAGGAGGACTAGTGGGGGAGCCCATGACGAGGATAAGGAGGATGAGGATGAGGATGAGGAGGATGAGGAGGATGGGGAGGAGGATGAGGAGTGGGAAGACCCTGAGCGGGATGGATTAGGAAGTGCAAGCGCTGCTGGCACGGCGGGCCAGAATTAGGCTAGAGGTAGATGTGTATATATGGGCAGGCAAATCAGAAACCCTTCTCTAAACATGGTCTGGACCGAACCCAGCTCGGAAGCTCATCACCATGCGTTAGTACAAAGTGTATTCCGCACTTCAGCAGCACACGTGGTTCTCTTCCAGCCCCGCCTGGACGATCAATTCAACATTACTCATGTTCGCGGCGCATAACAGGTCGGCACCACACTGAGCGTCTCTGAGCTAACAAATCCAACTTTACTCATCTCCGCGCCACATAGTACGTCGGAGCTGGACTGCGCGTCGATATGCAACACACTTACCCCGGCGAAGAGCCCAGCCATATGCAGGTGTGAGCACCGACAGGCAGGTGGAACAAAGGTGGGGTGATGAAATGTGCGAGGAGTGTGTCGGGATGTGCGGGGTAACGCAATGCGGGCGCTGCCACTGAGAGGGTGGAGCCTGCGGTGGGGCACGAAACGTGTGAGAGGTGTGCCGAAATGAACAAGGTGGCGCCATGCGGGCTCTACCCCTGGGGCCTCCGGTGGAACCCCCTGTGGGGCCACGCAGCGTGTGAGGGATGTGCCAACATGGACGGGGTGACGCCATGCGGGCGGTGCGACTTGGGCCTTCGGTGGAGCTCCCAGCGGGTCACGAAACGTGTGAGGGGTGTGCCGAAATTGGCTGGGTGGCGCCACGCGGGCGTTGCCACTGGGGCCTTGGGTGGAGCTCCCTGCGGGTCAAGAATCGTGTGAGGCGTGCGCCGAAATGAACGGGGTGTCGTCATGCATTCGGTGGGGCCGCCCTGTGGGGGGCACGGGCAATGTGAGGGGTGTCCCGAAATCGGCGGGGTGTCGCCACAAGGGAGCTGCCGCCGGCACCTCCGTGTTGTCACGACACGTGTGAGGATTTTCCCGAATTGGGCAAGGTGACGCCATGCGGGCGCTCCCGCTGGGGCATCCGGTGGAGCTCTCTCTGGGGCCACAAAACATGTGGCGAAGATTCCTATGTGGCCACGAACCGTGTGAGAGATGTACCTGGACTAGCATGCGCATGGCTGAGGCAAGGATGGGAGGAGGGAGGGAGGATGGGAGGAGGAGAGGAGACGAGAGGAGAGGACGCGTGGCGCTGTCTTTCCAAAACGAAAACCCAGCACCACAGGATGGTTGTGAACCACTACCCTGGCGATAGATGCAGCTGCGAGTGCCGAGGACCAAGTGAGAAAGAGGGGGGATCAAAATGACGGACTAACGCGCGCATCTCCTGGCGCGGCGGCGCCATTTGACCACCGCCGCTGGGGCCTTCGGTGAATTCACTATACGGGCCACGAAGCGTGTGAGAGGTCTCCCCCCTCCTCCTCTTCCCCCCCTCCTCCCCTCCTCCACTCCTCCCCTCCTCCCCTCCTCCCCTCCTCCTTCCTCCCTCCTCCCAGCCCCTTTCCCTCAGGCCCGCGGCCCCTGGGGCCACCCACGCGTCGCGCGCGGCTTTCCCACTACCGCCAGGAGCCAGAGGGGGGGGGGCTCGCCCCCACACACTCACATGTTTTACGGGCTACTACATGTGGAGCACTCTTCTCACTTGTGTACTGTACAACCCACTTCATATCGTGGATGCGTGGAGGGCGAGGGCAGAGGATCTTGCGGCGAGCCTCTCGTTCGCTGACATCATCGTGTGCCCAGCAACCACGCAGCGGCAGAGGCTGAAGCAAGCACCGACCACGCTCCACACTCGCACGCATACCGTGTATCAGTTCGGGTGGGAGCGAGGGCGACACAACAACAAGATTGCTGGCTGTGCGGTGTTTCTGAAGAGGGCGGTGAGGAAAACGCACGTAGTTGAGATCGCTCACCCGCCCAGTGACTTGGCAGGACGAAGAGGGCTCATTCACATCCACTCGGGGCAATTCGATGTCACGGTGATAGTGGCCTACTTCCCGCCAGTGTCGAACATGAAGGCAGATCACTGGCGGAGCGCGTGCAAGAGGCTTGCTTCCTGGGTCCACTCTGCCATCCAGCAAGCCAAGCAGCGTCCGCTAGTGGTTGTGGGCCTTGACGCGAACTGCCAGTTCGGAAGGAGACGAATTGGACAGGGGCTGGTCACGTCTACGCAAGATGGGAGACATGTGGGCCCGTACGCGACGGGGGACGAGAATGAGGTGGCAGCAGAGATCTGGCGCATATTGGAGATGGAGGATATGGCAATGGTGGGCAGTTCCTTCCTGTTGGTCCCACGTACTTCGGCACGGAGTCTCGGAGCGCGCCAGACTACATCCTGATACCAGCTGCTGCCCTCACAGTGACCAAGCAGTGCCGAGTAGTGCGCAGGAGCATGGAAGAGTTGCAGATCATCCTCGACTCGAGGCCCAAGGACCACGCGCCACTCTTGTGGCAGGCGCAGTGCCAGCTGCAGGAGCCGACGGACCAGGACAGCGGGGGAGGCGCAGCATGGGATCGAGAGTACTTGGCCAAGCTGCTGCTACACGAGGGGGAGGGCTGCACCATCATTGCTGAGTTAGAGCGGGTTTCGATCGAGCAGCGCGGGTAATGAGAACATCACGCGAAGCAGCTCGATCCGTCAGAAGCATGGCAGGCACTGGTCAACGACATGCAGCAGACAGCAACACCCTAGGCGACAAGAGTGGCTCAGAGAGGTACATTACACGCACACATCCAGAAGCGGGCGGAGATCTTGGCAAAGAGACATCATGCGAGACTGGTATGCTTTACCGAGACGGATCGAAAGTATTTGCGCACACCAGAGAAGGAGATAAAGGCGATGAAGAAGAAACTGGACCTGGAATACGTGGAACAGTTGCCAGTGGAGGCCGAACAGCATAGCTCGGCCAATGATCACCATGGAGTATGGCGTATGATTTACGCGATCGGCCGCAGCTGCAGGGGGGGCAAGGCAACGCAGCTGCAACGCGCCCGCCACCTGCCTCCCCTGCCTCGAGGAGCAGACTGAGACGATGACGGCGTCGGCGAGGGAGGCTTCAGCGCGGCGTTGCTGGAGGGCCTCAGGACGCCGTCGACGGCCACCCTCACCCAGCTCGCCGACGAGGGCCAGGAGTACGTCGGCGGGGCCCCTGCCTCGACGGCGCACGGCGACTCGCTCAGAACGCTCGCCCAGTTGAAAAAAAGGCAGCCCGCAGGATGTACTCGCCAGACCACACAGCGCCCTCGGAGCTCTGGCACTGGGTCGTGCAGCACGCGGCCAGAGAAATGGCGGGCGAGTGGCCGACACTGAGCACACGAGCGAACAGGCACTTGCACGAGCACGTACTCGACAGAGAGCTGCGTGCCCAGTGTTTACTGATCGGTTGAGGAGCATATTTAGGCAGTTTCGGGTAAAAACCAGGACGCCGCATCAATGGCATTGGAGAAGGACATTCCAGCTCACGAAAGGGAACCTCAAGAAGGGCACCAAGGCCATGAGACTCATCCACTGCTACTGCCCGTTCGGGAAGGCCTGGTACAGGAGGTTGTTTCTTCGGAGTCGTCGTCCGTCCTTTCCTCCCCATGCTCATGGGTATGCTGCGCATCGGTGTCACCAAAAAGCTCAACTTGTCGCCGAGATCAATATCTGGAGGCTAACAAAAACTGGGAATATCACAATTGCTCTTGAAGAAATACATGTCGAACGCGTTTCCGTCGATGTGGCATGAGAAGCTAGATAGGACTGTTCAGGAGATCATCCAGTACCCTCAGGATCGGGCCTTCCTCGACCAGAGGCACTCGGAGGCGGTGATGGGAATCAGGGCGGGGGACCAGGACGGGCATTATCAACCCACTCATGGGTCGGGGATGGGTGATGGGGACGCATGTCAATTGTTTGTGCGCAATTTTCTACGCCCAACCGAACGATGGCGAGATGGGCTACACGGGGACCCCTCTCTGTGCCAGTCTCGGTCGACGGAGGGCGAGGTGCCGCTCATCCGCGCCACCGGCATCATGACTTGTGCAGTTTCGACCCAGAGGATGGACGTGTCCATTAGAGACTACGCCGATGACATACATCAGACATGCCGCTGCTGTCGCCTAACCCGCTGGAGGCGCAGACTAGGGTTCGGGCCTCCAACGCAGTCCTCGATGAGGAACTCTAGAGTTGGCGGCGGCTTCGCACAACATCGGGAGATGGAGCATTGCCTTCCTGTTATGGCGGGCCCTGGGGCCCATGCTGCGTCCAGGGCCTTGTTGTCTGGTGTCGTCCCTCTTCCTGGAGTCGTGGCCGCGGAGGGAATATACTTGAGAGGCCTGGAGCAGCTCACTGGAGGATGTTGAGCGGAGATCAAGAGGAGGGTGGAGGCGACGAGGGCTGCGTGGAGGAGGCCGGGGAGGCTGTGGGACGACACGCACTCGATTCGACTCAAACGGCTCGCCTTCAAGGGTACGATCGTGAGTGCTGCCTTCTCGGGACTCGAAACGCATCTCCCTGGCAAACTCGACCTTCGCCGATTGAATGCTGTCGTTCTCGGGTTCGCTAGAGTTGTACTTCGGGACGGGCAACCTGAGATCGTTCCTGGAGCTCCAGAGGGAAGCAAGACTCGGTATAGGTCTCTCTCGGAAGACGAGGCGCTGAACCAGCTTCGCATGACAGACGCTCGCGCCGAGTTGCTTGTCCGCAGGCTGAGGCAGTGGCAGAGGATCGTAAAGCATCAGGAAGATAGCGCACAGGTGATCACATCCCTGTTTGGTTCACTTGAGGAGCTAGGCGAGCCCGCCACCTTCTTGCAGTCCGGAGCGATCGCGGACGGGGCCAACCCGTGGGCCACTCATTTCGAGCTGGATGTCCAGGCCGTCAGGTTTCTCAAGGGAGGGGTCGCGTTCCTGGAGGCCTACTCGATTAGGGACATCTTCCAGAATCCAGAGGCTCCATCGTCTGTCGATTTGACCCGAGTGAGCTGCGTAAGGTCCCTGAGCTTCGCAGCGCCCGCCGACCCATGGGAGCCTCGCAGGAACCTGAAGCAGCCCCAGAAGAGTTCGCATGTGACCTACCTGGAGATGGGGAGAACGGGAGGTGCGGGATGGTATTCTACAGCACGGGTGCCCTCATCGCTCATCTCATCACCCATCACATCGACACAGAGTTCCAGCACATCAGCTTATCGTCACGAACCAGTGCCCGTACTGTATGAGCAACTTCAAGTCCATCGTCACGGCCCAGCACCACATCGTGCCATCCCTTCGTCGCGGTCGGTGCTTGTGTGATCAGCCTCCCCACGCCCCGCCCGAGATCGAACCGTAAGACCTCGCGTGCCCCATCTGCCAGGACCTGAATTCGGCAGCCCAAGGGTCCGCGGACCGTCCGCGGACCGAACTTCAGCTTCACATCCGTCACGTCCACAAGGGCTCTCAACTTCGCGCTTCGCGCTGAGCGAAGCGCGAAGTGCGAATAACTTCGCGCTTTCGCGCCGCCTCCCAGGGGAGAAGAGGAGGACGAGGAGGAATCGGAGCCGAACCGCGAAGCGCGAATAACTTCGCGCCCTCGAGGGCGCCCTTGAGTAGGGAGTCGGCTCAGGAGAGTTCCCCGCGCAGGGAGCGGCCTCCATTGCCCGCGGGGGCGGGCGAGGCGGCCCCCCTCAGCCAGCGCAGAGGGGCACCGCGGAGGCGCTTTCGACGACGTTCGAGGACGCCGACGCTCACTGCGGCCTCGCGCGCAACGACATCGAGAGCCTCCAGGCGCAGGCGGTGCCCATCGCGCTCAGCCAGGCTCTGTTCCCGATCATCGCGCGGGCAGTCTTGCAGAAAAGTCAGGCGGTGGCGCACCTGGAGGCGGCGATGTACTTCTGTATACACATAGAGACGGCACACGCCATAGTCGAGGCGATGAAGTTGACAGGGCGCTTCTACGTTCAGGAGGCGCAGAGGCTGAGGAAGGACAACGCAGCGGCATTGAAGAACAAACAAGCAATTCCAGAGTTGGACCGACTGGGAGTACCGCATCCTCACCTCTTCCTGGCCCTGGTCGGCGCTATCGCGCAGGCGGGCGTAGGGTGCGGTCAAGCCAACCACGCGGCCCTCAACGAGTGGATCACGAACGTCAAGAGCGACACGTCCATCACGAACGACAGCCTTTGCAACCAGATTCGGCACTGCAAGGTCTCGTACACGCACGACCGCGACGGCCACTATTCACCTCGAGGAGACGGAGACAGGCATTCTAGCACAGTTGCTAGGCTCCTTGAAGCAATTAGGCGCGGAGATCCAGAGCGGACCCCCCCCCAAGAGTCACCACGAGAGGATCATGCAGATGACGCTGGACTCGATGGGGGAGGGTTGAGTTCCACGACTGCCGCGCGACCTCCGATTGCCACGCCCGCCTCGATTGTTGGGAGAGAGCCGATTTCCACGGAGAGATTGATTTCCAAGCCCACCTCGGTTGTGTTGCCGCCTGCGGGGGCCACCAGCGCGTCGGTGGCATCGCCCGTCCTCCCTCGGAGACTTGACGACCTCGGAGGTACCCGCCCAGTACAGAGAGTTCGAGACGCGGTGGCGGGAGACCAGGTGAGGCCAAGTCGCGTGCAGGTGGATTCTGAAGTTAGCCTCCGTCCCCTCCCTCCTCTTCGTCCGAGTGCACCCCTCACCTCACCCACTCGACCTCCCTTGATGCCAGTACCCTGAGACTGATCGGAGCCCTGCCCAGGAGACCCAGTAGCGATGGACCCTCGGCCCTTTAGGGGCTGCTGTGTGCAATGCAACTCCCAACCTTGTCTTTCGGGTCCTGGGCGCTCTGATTCAAATTGGTTGTTTGGTCTCGTTGGCTGGCGTCGCGTCTTTCTGTTCGCCTACAAAAAAATAGTAGCCCACCGACTTTGTGTGGGGCGTCTCTTGACCCAGGGACCCTCTCCGTTCTGGACCCCAGAGGAACGTTCGCCCCCCCCCCCCCCCCGTGCGTAGCACAGGTTTAAATAGCGCACTCGAGGAGCTTGACCATACTTGTCAAGCTTGCATCAATCGGAAGAATATAAAAATAACAAAAAAAAAAAAAAAAAAAAAAAAAAAAAAAAAAAATAATAAAAAAAAAAAAAAGAAAAAAAAAAATAAAAAAAACGGAAAAAAAAAAAAAAGTAGAAAAAAAAAAGAAAAAAAAAAACAAAAAAAAAAAAAAAGAACAAAAATTAAATAAAAATCGGAAAAAAGAAAAAAATAAAAAAAAATAAAAAAGAGGGGTTGACTCGTGCCCACCTATGAGCGTGCCGTCCCCCCCTCCTCCTCCTCCTCCTCCTCCTCCTCCTCCTCCTCCTCCTCCTCCTCCTCCTCCTCCCCCCTCCTCCTCCTCCTCCTCCTCCTCCTCCTCCTCCTCCTCCTCCTCCTCCTCCTCCTCCTCCCTCCTCATTCCTCCCTCCTCCTCTTCCTCCTCCTCCTCATCCTCGTCTTCCGCCTCCTCGGCCTCCTCCTCCTCCTCCTCCTGCTCCTCC